CGCAGAATTCGACTCTTTTTAGGTCGGAAGTCAATTCTTTCAAAGATTTGGTAGTTTCCCTTTGCTGTTTCAAATTTTTTTCAATAGGTCGTTAGTCGAACTGGATTCAGAATCTGAGTCTGATGTTGGCCCCGGATTGGTTTCTATATCCCCAGCGGTTAGTAACAGCAACTTGATAACATCAGCACAATCTTTGAGTATCAAGAAGAAAATGTGGACTTGGCAGCACCATCAAGGCCAGGGAGTCATCTCGAATGGAAGAATTGTATTGCACACTAACCTGGATAACGAACAGTAGAGGGATTATCATCCTGTCCTTTCTGGTGCAACTAAGTCCACTGAAATATCCGTCGTTGCGCCCGGTATTTATACGGTCGAGATCAGGGCCTTCTGTTGACGTCACTTTGTCAGTCCGCCACTGTCTGCGCAGTATGCTTTCGTTGATGTCGGGTGGTAGCAGTTTCGTTGCGTCCATGGCACATTGGTCCGGCGCAGGTGCTGTGTTGACTTGCAAACTGGCTGGATCACCGGCCACAGCGATATGCCCCGTAGAGCACAAAGCGACCTGGATAACGACCAGTAGAGGGATTAGCATCCTGTCCTTTCTGGTGCAACCAAGTCCACTGAAAGATCCGTCGTTGCGCCCGGTATTTATACGGTCGAGATGAGGGCCTTCTGTTGACGCCACTGTGTCTGTCCGCCACTGTCTGCGCAGTATGCTTTCGTTGATGTCGGGTGGTAGCAGTTTCGTTGCGTCCATGGCACATTGGTTCGGCGCAGGTGTTGTGTTGACTTGCAAACTGGCTGGATCAACCGGCACAGCGATATGCCCCGTAGAGCACAAAGCGACCTGGATAACGAACAGTAGAGGGATTAGCATCCTGTCCTTTCTGGTTGCAACCAAGTCCACTGAAAGATCCGTCGTTGCGCCCGGTATTTATACGGTCGAGATGATGGGCCTTCTGTTGACGTCACTGTGTCTGTCCGCCACTGTCTCCGCAGTATGCTTTCGTTGATGTCGGGTGGTAGCATTTCGTTGCGTCCATGGCACATTGGTCCGGCGCAGGTGTTGTGTTGACTTGCAAACTGGCTGGATCACCGGCCACAGCGATATGCCCCGTAGAGCACAAAGCGACCTGGATAACGAACAGTAGAGGGATTAGCATCCTGTCCTTTCTGGTGCAACCAAGTCCACTGAAAGATCCGTCGTTGCGCCCGGTATTTATACGGTCGAGATGAGGGCCTTCTGTTGACGTCACTGTGTCTGTCCGCCACTGTCTGCGCAGTATGCTTTCGTTGATGTCGGGTGGTAGCAGTTTCGTTGCGTCCATGGCACATTGGTCCGGCGCAGGTGTTGTGTTGACTTGCAAACTGGCTGGATCACCGGCCACAGCGATATGCGTCGTAGAGCACAAAGCGACCTGGATAACGAACAGTAGAGGGATTAGCATCCTGTCCTTTCTGGTGCAACCAAGTCCACTGAAAGATCCGTCGTTGCGCCCGGTATTTATACGGTCGAGATGAGGGCCTTCTGTTGACGTCACTGTGTCAGTCCGCCACTGTCTGCGCAGTATGCTTTCGTTGATGTCGGGTGGTAGCAGTTTCGTTGCGTCCATGGCACATTGGTCCGGCGCAGGTGTTGTATTGACTTGCAAACTGGCTGGATCACCGGCCACAGCGATATGCCCCGTAGAGCACAAAGCGACCTGGATAACGAACAGTAGAGGGATTAGCATCCTGTCCTTTCTGGTGCAACCAAGTCCACTGAAAGATCCGTCGTTGCGCCCGGTATTTATACGATCGAGATGAGGGTCTTCGGTTGACGTCACTGTGTCTGTCCGCCACTGTCTGCGCAGTATGCTTTCGTTGATGTCGGGTGGTAGCAGTTTCGTTGCGTCCATGGCACATTGGTCCGGCGCAGGTGTTGTGTTGACTTGCAAACTGGCTGGATCACCGGCCACAGCGATATGCCCCGTAGAGCACAAAGTGACCTGGATAGCGAACAGTAGAGGGATTAGCATCCTGTCCTTTCTGGTGCAACCAAGTCCACTGAAAGATCCGTCGTTGCGCCCGGTATTTATACGGTCGAGATGAGGGCCTTCTGTTGACGTCACTGTGTCTGTCCGCCACTTTCTGCGCAGTATGCTTTCGTTGATGTCGGGTGGTAGCAGTTTCGTTGCGTCCATGGCACATTGGTCCGGCGCAGGTGTTGTGTTGACTTGCAAACTGGCTGGATCACCGGCCACAGCGATATGCCCCGTAGAGCACAAAGCGACCTGGATAACGAACAGTAGAGGGATTAGCATCCTGTCCTTTCTGGTGCAACCAAGTCCACTGAAAGATCCGTCGTTGCGCCCGGTATTTATACGGTCGAGATGAGGGCCTTCTGTTGACGCCACTGTGTCTGTCCGCCACTGTCTGCGCAGTATGCTTTCGTTGATGTCGGGTGGTAGCAGTTTCGTTGCGTCCATGGCACATTGGTTCGGCGCAGGTGTTGTGTTGACTTGCAAACTGGCTGGATCACCGGCCACAGCGATATGCCCCGTAGAGCACAAAGCGACCTGGATAACGAACAGTAGAGGGATTAGCATCCTGTCCTTTTTGGTGCAACCAAGTCCACCAAGTCGTCGTCTATTCACATCTCGTGATACCGAATTTCGTATATGTGAAGCTAGCGAAACGGCTGCGAGCGCATCATGAGCGTTGCGTGTAGTCATGTTGTTACATCACACGCATCTCATGATTATCATGTTGGCACCAATCACTTAACTTGGTCATTCATTTATATCCCGTAATGCCAAATTTGGTATATGTGAAGCAAGCGAAAAGGCCGCAAACGTGCCATGAGCGTGGCGTGTAGTCATGAGTCATGACTTACATGACATGCATGCCATAATTTTTATGTTAGGGTTTGTTACTTGTGGTCACCATGCAGTCGTGTCATGCCATACCAGTTTTGCAACATGTCATGAGAACAAAACCACCGGAAGAGCAGCAAGACCATGAAATGTAAATTATAACACTTATGACATACATGTCATGATAGCCATGTTATGACTAGAGAGTTATGTTCGCAATACAGTCATGTTTTTTCCATAAAAATTTTGGTATCGATCCCATCATCGCGACGGCCAGGAGAGCGAAAAGTTCCTTTACTTGGTGCATGCACTTACAAACTTTGAAATAGAGCCAGTTTTTTTTTTTTTTGCTTGAATATTAGTTAGCATTGCAGTGCGGAGGACATGCTTTTTTGAAATAATGTATACGTCCTATAGTCTTTAGCAATATTTCTCTATTTCTTTAAATATCTCTTTGTAGAGTGCTGTCTTTCCCAGGAAGGTGCTGTCCAAAAAATGAAGCGTTCATGATAGAAAGATTGTATACAGGCCCATTTCCACAATTTATTTTATTACCCAGAGGGTTGGAGAGCCTTATATGTCTAAATCATTTCTATAAACAAAATTTTATCTCTATAACCCAGTCGAGCTAAGAAGTGCATTTAAACGTAATTAACCCTATCAAAAAACGAATTTATTTTATCACGTTTTGAAAAACACATATTCATTGGCCTTTGCATTGATTTTACTCTAAAGCACGCATCTGGCATCTCATATTACATAAAAAAGCTTAAAACTTGTGGTATTCTTGGGAACTGCCTAAGTCTCCTGTAATATTACCTAGACTAGATCATCGCTATCGGCACGGCGAAATTGAAAACTACTGGTCAATTAAAAAAAAGAACTGTCATAGAGGCGTGCGTATATCCAAGAGGTATTGTTGGTCCAGTTCTTTCAATGTGTATGAATGACCTAAATGTTTCTAGATGCTCGAAATTACTTACGTGTGCTGACAATTCTAGTATACTTTATCGTCACCTGAACCCGGTCGCCTATTGTTATGGCCAATGTTGTTCGAAAAACTCTCCTATGTTAGTGCGCAGCAAACGTTCCACAAATTAACACAAACAATAAAGGCAACAATCCTGATCTTCCGAGCCTGAAGCGAATAAACTACTATGGTCGCAAGGCGTGGTGCTTGTGCCGAGTTACATTCAAGAACACTAGACGGCAGGAAAGCAACGCATCAGCAACGAAGCTTCATTGCACTTTGATTGCACATGTGAAGCAATGATGAACTGATAGTACAATCTGCCTCCGAACTAATCGTCCACACTATAGTTGCGGTTTTTAGGTGCGGAGTCCCTTAAGCCGGCACTTCGCCGTCGTCACCGCGTGATGCTACCAGCACCGGCTAAGCGCGCCGAGCAAAACAGCAGGTGAGCGCGGCCGGCGTGCGGCGCAGGCGCCACGTGCTGCGCCGCGCGCGTCACACACTGCTGTGCTCAGTCGATCCCACCTCTGAGCACAGCAGATGCTCTCCCCAACCTACCACCTTCATGAAAGCCAGCAGCCAGATCAGGTGCATGGTCATTTGCGTCCCATTTTAAAGTAGCTTCGTTCATCTGTTGTTTTCGTACACTGAACAGCTGCTTGTTTTGTCAGACATGCCTTCACCAGCACCACCAAAGTCGCGTTCACCGGGTTTCAGGTAAATAAGAGACCTGACTTTTACGTTATGCAAAATTTGTTATGTAAACATGATTAGTTGTGTAAACATAATAATATAACCTCCCCGCAAAAAGGAGCCTCCTGTGAATTCGTATATCTGCCTAAAAAAGTTAAATATTGCATTTAACAAATTTTGAATATAAGGAGGTTGCAGATTTTATTGTTTCTGTGATATCAAGATTCCCCTATAGTAGTAGTAGTAGTAGTAGTAGTAGTAGAATAAGTGGCAAGTTATAATAGTATTAGTATTAGTTGTGCTAGTAGTAGTAATGACAGTAGTAGTACTAGTGGTAAGTGGTAGTAGCAGTAGTATTAGTTGTAGTAGTAGTAGTAGTATTAATAGTAGTAGTAGTATTTCTTGCTTGTAACGTTTACACTAAGGCATGATGAACATGCCAACTGCACAGCTGCTCTGTGTGTGCGTGCCCCTACTCACCCTGCAACGAATATTGTGGTCGCACAGTTGCTTACTTCCAAGGTCGTTAGTGGCCTGGTGTTCATTCGTCCTGGTAGTGAAAAAAATGAAGAGTGGAAAAGAAAAAAACGACACACCGGACGAAAAAATCAGAGCATATTCACGGAGTGAATTAGATTTAGTAGGGCGAAGCATGGATGCATGGATGGACGCATGAACAGACGCAGGGGTGGATGCATGGACGAACGCAGGGACGGACGCACTAACCGACGCATGCACCGACGGGCAGATTGACGCATAGACGGTCACACAGACGGACTCATCGACAGAAAAACGCCACGTGCGATGAACTACGCTATTGACTGCACGGGGTGAGAAAGAAAAAAAAAACATTATTCTTCTAACGTTGTGTTCTAACGTGCAACACGCCATTACGGACGCTACGCAATGCATTCGCATTTTGTCATGATCGCCTTCGGGGAGATATGGGGGCATTTTTTTTTCTTTTTCTATCTTATTCGATCTAGCTAATTGTTTATTTGACATATATACGCTCTTAATTGCATGCCATACGAGCCAGTAGAGATGTAAATAACTCACCGTTTTCTTTCTTGGTGGCTGTTTCTCGGGTTTTGATTTCAGCACACTCTGTATCGAGAAGATGCTGCAGAATGTCATGTCTTCGATACTGCATGGTAGAGAAAGTACATCTTAAGCGAAAGTGCCATATCAAAAATCTGCTCCTTCACTCCCCGCTTGACGATATGAACAAAGAAAAGGCAAACAAAGTGTCAGCTGCATTTGGTGCCCAGTGCCTTTATTCGCACTAGGTGTCGTTATCTGCAAAACAGCGCATTTTGCACAAAATCGCACAAAGCTGAGTCTAACCAGATCTTCTGCGCACCTAGCTGGCTCTTAAGTTGGCACTTAGTAGACATTAATGCCTCAACTAATGCCTTAATGCCTTAAGTAGGCATTAACCCTCTCTCCTGTCTCCTTCCCACCATAGAGTTTCCTAAATATACACTAGAGGAAACTCTGGCACTACTTTCTATGGGAGCTGCAACGCATGGCGCTCCAGCGAGCATGGGAATGATAGATAGTACATGGATTTGTCTAATCTTCGTACTTCTAGCTCTGTGTGTGTTCGTGTGGTTTGGAAATGCTCTGTCACGAAACAAAAATCAGTAAAAGTTAAGTGGTTGCGCTTCACCACCTTAATATTTTATTCTTACCATTTCTAACCCGGTACCGAAATTCAAAAGGGTTCATTCTTTTTCTTCGAAACAAAACCGAAACACGGCCACAAAGGAAGCCACAAGTGTGATTCCCGCCCGCATGTACGAAGACTAGGCAAATCCATGTACTACCCATCATTGTCATGGTCGCTGAACGATCACAGTGCCTGAGTCTCCTCTAGCTAATTTTAGGAAACTCTGTGCTTCCTACACTCCGCCGTGGTGGTCTATTGGCTAGGATACTCGGCTGCTGACCCGCAGGTCGCGGGATGAAATCCCGGCTGCAGCCGCTGCCTTTCCGATGGAGGCGGAAATGTTGTAGGCCCGTGTGCTCAGATTTGGGTGCACGTTAAAGAACCCCAGGTGGTCGACATTTCCGGAACCTCTTTCCGACATTTCCGGAACGGTGACTCTCATAACTGTACGGGGTTTTCGGGACGTTAAAACCCACATATGAATAAATATGTGCTTCCCACATCTAGCTATATCATACTGCATGGTATGGCCATGTTTGCTCTTTCTCACCTTTTTTTTTTCTCAGAGCCTTTCAATTTCTTCCTCTCAATGTGTACTTGTCTCTCTATCATTTTATGTTTTATTTTTCCTCTCCGTGTTCCCTTTATGGTGTCTTTTTTCTCCGGCTCTCTCTAAGACCTTTTTTTTTTTCTCTTTCTCTCTTTGTACCTATTATCTCGCATTCTATCTTTTTCACGCCTTGATCATATCATGTCTCCTGCAAAGCTCCTACAGCAACCATGTGCCACAGAATTCTAAAGGCTCGCAACAATAGTCCTTTAAAAATATTGGCAAGAAAACGCGTGGACGACGAACACCAATTAGGGGCCGCTCGTTACCGCTTCTCTGTACTTGACGCTTCGGCGCTAACTGAATGCGTGTTGGTTCATCACACTGATAATTTTTCATCTGCGACACATGGCCAGCCTTGAGCTTAGCAGCTCTGCTGTAATAATTGGCCGTGTATCTGCGTGTTTCTCTGCAAAAAATATATCGAAAAACGGTAGTCTTCTGCCGGCGGTCTTTCGTGCACAACGTCACATTTTCAACGCAGCCTAAGAAACGCTAGAGTCTTTAGAATTACGTATATTGGTATATTCTAGTAAAAGAACAGACCACCTAATACTGACGTATTTATGTCGCATCTCAGATAGGAGTAATATTTGGCTATTTATCGACAGTATTCAAAAGTTAGAACGCAGCCACCAGTTCAATATGGCTGGGCATTCACCAAGTGCTGAAACTTTGACCGGGTGGCTGATTCGTGTGAAAGACAGACCAAAGTTTTTGCGTTCAATTATCTCAGTTGTCAACACCATTCCGTTGACTTGCCCACGGGACGGCTTTATCCCTCCCATAGTAGAGTACTTAGTTCTCTGAGTCTTTACCCACTTTTTCTAAACACACAGTTTTCTTTGGGTAGTGATTTTAACAGCACATTGGGGTTACTGATACACCAAAGTTTCTGATTTCAAGTAGTTTACTAATACATATGAGTCTGTTGACCGAAAAAATATGTTTCAGAATTTTATGCCGGGAATCGAAGAACTTCGAGAAGTGGCTGCGTAAGTAGTGGCGCCTCAGCGTCAACAGAACGGTGCATTGTTCCACTGAAAAAGCCCACACACGTCACGAAACACCATGAGTCAGCGTCAGTGAAGCACGTGTCACTCACCGAACAGTTCTTTCTTCTAGTCTCAACTATCTCAGCCATCCGTCGAGTCACCATGAGGTGGTTCTCTGCTAGCAGTGAAATCCAAGTCAGAGGCTTCATCAAGCGCCCGAGGAATCTGGTGCTCTCTGCACATACAAGGTAAAAAAGTCGATTGATTCATTGATTGATTGATTTCTTGATATGCGAAGTTTAACGTCCCAAAACCACCATGTGTTTATGGAGACGCCTGAGTGGAGGGCTTGGGAAATTTCGACCACCTGGGGTTTAGTAACGTCCACCCGAATGTCAGCACACGAGCCTACAGCATTTTCGCTTCCATCGAAAACGCAGCCGCCACAGCCGTACGACAAAATCGGATATCGCTGATAACAGATGTTTTTGTCATGGCCTTAGTGGTATATAAATATAGAGCAAGAGAAAGTCTCGCCATCAGTCCTCCGTAGCCAGACACGATAGGTTTCTTGGGAGGATATACTTCTGAAATAACGTAAGTTCGTGCTTGCTGGTATTTCATTTGAACAGCTAACACAAAAGACAAAGACCGGGTGAAAACTGACAAAAACAAGCGACAGTTTCACCACTTCATTCACCTGTGTTGTGCGTTAGATGCTCGCTGGATTCCGTGCAGACCGGTTGTGCGCCCGCGCGCTCCGCGCGCTCGCGACCTTCGGCGTCACCGTAGCTCTGGCCGACTGGGCTCGCCCTACGTCATCTCCTGCCGCCGACGACCTTCGACGACAGTGAAGATCTGACTTACTGGACCTGCTCTACGCCATCTACAGACGCCGACAACATCTCTCGCAAGTGTACCCCGTCCTCGGACTCCAGTGACCGTGCTTCCATCTTTCCTGTCTCTCCTATCCCCCCAGTTTTTTGTTGCTTCTTCTTCCTCTTTTCTATACCTTTACTCCTAACTTTTATATCCCTCCTCACCCCCATCCCTTGTGAGCCCTGTGGCGGTGTCGCTCACTGAAGCAGACAATAACGGGGCTCACTTTTCTCTTCCTTTCTCTTTCTCAAGAACCACTACGCTTAAGCGGAACACACGTGGTGAAAGTCTTCAGCCTCTGCTCACGTGATTGGCTATTATGCATGCTGCGGATGCTGTGGCGGCTGTAGTCCCCCACCTGATAATTCAATAAAGTCTTTTCTCTCAATCTTTCTCGCACCTCTGGACAGTGGGAGAAAGAAGGAGTATTTGACAAGGCACGGGAGAAAATATCCGTGTCAAGCTATCAGTTCTAATCACACCCCACGGCTTCTTGTCCAGGCCCACGTTAGGGAGTGCATTGACATTGTTATAGCGCCGATGAACTGTCCCCGAGCAGAATGCATACAGTAAAATAACATTCGTCCATCTACCACAACACCGCATTGCACTCATAACCCCTCATAACCGCGAGCATTTTTTTCGAAGATATAGACCTATTCTATGTTAATAAACGATTATAGGCGCCGTCGACGTACTCAGACGCCTGCAGCGACTTTGTGGAGTGTTGGCTCTGCCCAGCTCAAAGCTCACCACGGTCATTTTACGATCGCGTGACAATTGACACAGCAGCTGTGTCAGTTGCCACTTTATCGTAAAAGGCAGCGTTGAGCTTTAGGCTTGGCGGAGCCAACGTGCCTCGAATTCGCTACACGTGCCTCACCGATAGTGCCTGTCATAATATGTGCTGCGCGGGCGCGAAACAGAAACTAAAAAAACGACAATAGTGTGCCGTGCGGTGGCGAAGAGGATGTGATGTGTGCGTGTATGTGCCGGGCGGTGCCTACGAGGAAGACGACAGCTCGTGAGGCGCGGCCTCGAGCGTGCGTGACCCGTGCCTTCGGCAGTGCGCGAGGTACGTCGTTCGAGGCAGGACTACCTCGTTGGGCGTCTGGCCCATAGGTACGACCCAGGCCACGTCGCGACACTCGTACCAGCCGAATGGACAGCTCAGCCTCCGCTAGACGACTGGTCTAGGAGAGCTGGCGCCAGGTTCCTGAACCTGTCCTTGTCCCGCTAGTCGTGGAGAGCTGGCGCCGGGTGCCTGAACCTGCCCTTGCGCCGCTGTTCCAGGAGGGCTGGCGTGGGTTTCCGAGGCGGACTACAGGTGCTCAAGGGCACAACTCCCTGCCGCCGGAACACGTGGGTCGTCGGCTCCAGTTCGTCGACAGTGGCGCTGAGCCACTGGAGTTCGACGCGGCGACCCTGCGTCTCCCGACTTCGTCACTGCAGGTGACGACGCCGCCCAACGTCGACTTCGCCACTGAATGCTGCCGACGGGGCATCAACGACGGCCCAGGCTACTACCCCGACGACCTGAACTGTAGGCCGAACGTTCTACTTATTCATTTAGTTTAGCCGCGTGTTTTTGTGTTAGGAACTTCGTAATGTGTGGGTTGTCCATGTGTGAAGGGTACAACAGAAGTTGGACGTGTGTTTGTGCACTGGCGTGCTGTCTGATTCTTTCTGGAGCGGTCCTGCCCCAATAACATCACAAACTGGCGAGCCTGCCAGGATCCGCTCGTTAAACCAGGGAAAGAAGACAGTTTCGCTCGAGGCAGACACACGTTCAGACTGCACCATGGACTTGGAAAAACTCGCCGCTATAGGGCTCCAACTAGGGTTCTCGGGTGCAGAGCTAAACAAGTGGATTGAGGCCCAACAGGCTAAGCTAAGGGATGAGAGAGCTGCAGAGCGAGAGGCAGCCAAAGAAGCTGACGAGAGGCAGCGTGAAATTCTGCAGCTTAAGCTAAAGCTTCAGGAAGGAGCTCAGAATATGCCTGTAGCAGCTAATGACGCTTTGACTGCGCCCAGCACCTCCTCACCCCTCAATCCGCAGAAGTTACTGCCTGTATTTGACGAGAAACGCGATGATCTGCACGCGTATCTGCAGCGATTCGAGCGCGTAGCCACAGGACAGGATTGGCCGCAAGAAAAATGGGGTCTCGCTGTTAGCCTGTGCCTAACGGGTGATAATACTGATTGTTGGCCTAGTTGGTATTTACTTAATGGCATGGCGGCCATTTACTTAATGGCCGCCTGTGCTTGTCGTTTGAGTGTTCCTTTTCTTGTGTGTGTCTCTTTTGCGGCCAAATCATGCCTAACGGGTGACGCGTTAACCGTGATAGGCCGAATGACTGCCGCTGATTCGCTGGACTACCAAAAAGTAAAGAAAGCTCTACTGCAGAGATTTCAGTTTACAGCTCAAGGCTACCAAGATAAGTTTCGGAAAGCACGAGCAGCAGATAGTGAAACTGGACGACAGTTAGCAGCAAGAATTACCAGTTATTTCGACCATTGGATAGACATGGCAAATGTATCCCAAACCTATGAAGGTCTAAGGGATCACGTAATCTCTGAGCAATTCTTGCGTTGTTGCCATCCAAAGCTGGTTGTTTTCTTAAAAGAGCGAGAGTGCAAGTCACTAGATGAACTCGCTAATTTGACGGATCGCTTCCTTGAGGCGCAGAATTTGACTAATATAGGAAAAGGTCCTGACCCCGCGAAAGAATCCAGTGGAAAGCCTACCGAAGCGTCGCGGAAACCGCAACTCAAGTGTATCCTGTGTCATCGTTTCGGACATTTGGCTCCTGACTGCCGCAATCCACCTAAGCAGATGCTGAAATGCAAGTTGTGCGGTAAAACGGGACATGTCACAGAAACTTGCCGAAACCAGCATGGGAACAACAAACCGAGTTCTTCGTGCGCATTTAGCGAACCTGACTCTGCCCGGGCTGGTGCTAGAAAAACAGCCAAGCGTCCAGGAGGGAAGATTCCTTGCTCAAGTCACCACGACGACAAGAACGTGCAGGGTACAATACGTTTCCTGGCCGACGGGATGCCAGTGGTCGAAGGTCTGCTGCTAGGAAGAGAGGTTCGAGTCTTACGCGATACGGGATGCAACACGGCAATCGTCCGACGGGAGCTCGTTCCTGATGTGTGCCTGACAGGCAAGAAAATCAGTGTCGTTCTCCTAGACAGGTCAACTAGCCATCTCCCGGAAGCTATTGTACAAGTCAACACGCCGTACTTCACAGGGATGCTGAAAGTGGCTTGTATGGATCAACCCCTCTATAACCTTGTGCTGGGAAATCTTCCAGGCGTCAGAGGACCATACGATCCAGATTCTGACTGGAAGCAGGCGACTCATACCCAGGTGGATGAGTTACCTGCGCAAGCACACCCGACCAAGTCACCTGTCACCTCAAGATCAGCTTCTTCAAGCGTGGCAAAAACCAAAGCCAATCAACAAGGTCAAGAAAATATCAGGCCTTTGTACGTGTCAACAACGCTCTTACCTGACGTTACCAGAGCCCAACTCGCCGAGGAACTGCGAAATGACCCGACACTCAAAGCTGTCTTTGCTAAAGTGAATAAAGAGTTCAAATCGGGAAAGGGCCACTGTTACGATTTCATCGAAGATAAAGGATTGCTTTATCGACGCTACCGCCTTGCCCCTGGCAGGACGTTTAAACAGCTGGTCACTCCGAAAGCGTTCCGGGTAGGCATACTGGACATTGCTCATGGCAGTATCATGGCGGGACACCAAGGCATCAAAAGAACTACTGATCGTGTCCTAGAAGAATTTTATTGGCCTGACCTGAACGGAGACGTAAAGCGCTTTGTCAAGTCTTGCGACAAGTGCCAGAGAACTACCCCTAAAGGAAAAGTTGGAGTCGCACCACTAGGCAACATGCCTCTTATCCGGACACCTTTTGAAAGGGTCGCGGTTGATTTAATCGGCCCATTTTCACCAAGATCGGACCGTGGGAACCGATATGTTCTGACACTTATCGATTTTGCGACTCGCTACCCTGACGCTGTAGCATTGCCCGCAATCGATGCAGTTCACATTGCGGAAGCACTCATCGAGATTTTTTCCCGCATCGGCTTACCAAAGGAAATCGTCACCGACCAAGGGGCAAGTTTTACCTCAGAATTAATGAACGAGGTTAGCAGGCTTCTCTCCGTGAAGATGCTAAAGACAACCCCATATCATGCGATGGCGAACGGTCTCGTGGAGAAATTTAATGGCACCCTGAAGACAATGCTAAAGCGAATGTGCCAAGAGAGACCTCGATCTTGGGACAGGTACCTAGCTCCGCTACTCTTTGCATATAGGGAAGTTCCACAGAC